TACAACAGTACACATGATCTGTGGTTGTTTGAACCAGTGGATGTGGAACTGTGAATAAAGAGGGGTGACTATAAAGCTATATGGTGAATTTTTGACTGTTCAGGGAGTGGGAGCCCCCTATGTTGCTCAAGAGTCAACTGTAATGACACATTGTAGGGTTTTGTCATTCATTCATTCCTTAACTCAATCTATTAGAAACAAAAGACACATTGAGAAACAACTTGGAAAACACATTCACAGACTTTCTTTGCCATGTACATTCCCATTTGAATTTCCTGAAGACTTCATGTAGGCGCAGGGTTTCAGTTCTCAAGCCTGATAAAACATCTAATGAGTATTTTAAAATATAAGTGGTGCCCAGTTTCAGGATATAGTCCAAGCATCTGTTCATAAAAGTTCTCTAGTTGATCTAATGAACATTCTGGGTTGTGAGCAATACATGGGGAGTGTCCATTTGGATAAAAAAATCAGACCAAAATTTTTGCTTTGCCTGAACTATATAGACTTATGTAGACCCATTAGGGGTTATTTCAATAAAGATCCTAAGCCTTAAATCAACAAAATAGAAAGTGGAAATAAGCATAAGTTCGTTAGCTGGTTTAGATGATAAAGTTCTTGTTGGCATATATGTGGCTTTATCTATCTGAAGCACAGTTCTTATCATGTCACTTCACTGTTCAAAAATTTTAATAGATAACTTTTTTAGTGTTGTAAAAAAACTAATGATACAGAAAAGGAGACAGACCACAGAAGTTAGCTACTGTTAAATTCTTAACCTACTAACTGTTGGAATATTTCATGCCCACATAAACATATTTATATATATTTACAATATAGGTTAATACCATGCATATTTCATAACTAATTTAATATTTCATGGGAAACTTTCCATTCAAATACATAAGGATATAATTAACTCTTCTTAGTACACAAATAGTATTCCATCATATGGAGAAAATACTTTATTTTACCAGTATATAGTGGTCAAGAGTTTCAGAATCCAGCTCCAAGATTCCAATTCCAGCTCTGCCATCTATTAGTTATGTGACTTGAATAAATTCATTGATTTACCAGTGTAGCCACTTCCTGGGAATAATAATGGTATTTGCATTAAAGGATGACAATTTATATTTTGAGGCCTCAATACATACTGTCTACAGCCCAGAATAACTAACTTTACCCTGTCACACTAGCTATGGAGAAAAGTAGCACATGGAGGAGGGAGGAGGCCACTGGAAAGAGTTTGCAGTTTTATATAGGGAGGTCAGTGTAGGTCTTACTGAGAAGTTCACTTCTATAAGAAGACTTGTAGGAGGTCAGGGAATGAGACATGGATACCTAGAAGGAGAGAATTCTAGAGAGGAAGGAGCATGCATGGAGTATTGAAGGACTGGCAGGAAGCCCAGTGTCCTATAGTGGATTAAGGAAGGAGGGGTATATGGGAGAGGAGGCCTGCTGATACAAAATCTTCCAGATGAAGTGGAAATTTTGAGTTAACAAGTAATGTGACAGGGTAGTTTTGAGCAACAAGGAATGTGGTGCAACTTAAGTTTTGAAAAGATTCATCTGGATGATATTATGAAAATAGGCATTAAAGGATTATGGGTAAAAGTGGTAGACTCTGAGTCAACTGTAATAATCCAACTGAGAAATGATGATGAAATTGGACCAGGGAGGTGGTAAGAGGCATTTTGTTATAAACATATTTTTTTCATATAGATATACAAAAATAAGTATTCAACTTTACATAGAATGTTGAACTATCAGTATTCTCTAATAGAGAGTGAAAAAGAAATGAAAATTAAAAAAAGAAAGAAGTCAAGGATGACATCCAAGTGTTATGGTCAGAAAAAAAGGGAAGGATTGAGGTGACCTTTGGAGGGATAGGAAACTGTATAGGAAGCATGTTTGGGGAGTCTGAGTTTAAACATGTCAAGATGGAGATGCCTGTTATACATGCCAGTGAAAATGTCAAGTAAACAGTTGGATATTCACACTGTGGAGTTCAGGGGACAGGTCACATCTCTTAAGTTCTTTTTACCACATAAAGTCATATAGTCACAAGATTACTGCATGGCCAGAGCATCAAACAGAAATGAGTGTAGAGAGTGAAGCGAGGTGGTCTGGGTATGAACCTTCATTATTCCAAAATTTAGAGGTTGGAAAGATACTGATAAAGGAAACTACAGAGCAACCACCCAGTAGGTAGGAAAGAGCAAAGTGAAGATAATGTTTCCAGGAAATATATATCCACTGTGGCTGAGAACTTCTGGGAAATGAGGATTGAGAATTGACTACTAAATTTAGCAGTGTGGAGTTCCCTGGTGACTGGGAAAAAAGCAGACTTGGTGGAGACGTAGGGACAATGCATAACAAGAAAGAATTCAAGAAAGAAAGAAATTTCTTCAAGTAAGGTTAATATGCTCATGAAAACATGTTCACATGAATCATTTGAGAAATGCAATTCAGAACCACAATGAGATACCACTTCATCAGCACTAGGATGGATACAATCTAAAAATAACAAGAGTTGGCGATAACGTGGAGAAATTCTCACACATTGCTGGTGGAACTGCAAAAATGGTGGTGGAAGATGAGAATGAAAGAAGTGGAGGAGAATGGAGTACAGGAAGATTTATGAAGGATAGCACAGTGGAAGCTGGTAACTGATTGGGTGTCCAGAATGACAGAGAAAGGAATCAAAATGAGTGGAATTATTATCTCCTGTGATCATGCCTATATAACTTACACTCATGAGAACTTCTGTAGAATACTGAATATCTCTGGATTTTAATTTTTCATTTGTACATTGAGGATTTCAGCATAATTCTTGAATGAAATTATGAATAATAATGTAAAGGGAAGCTGACTTGAGAATAGGGATGCTGATATCCACAACACACCTTGTATAAGAGGAAGGAACTCCCATAAGACCCAAGACGAAGCATCTCTGCTTCAAATACCTCCTCTGAACCAGAGCACAGGACCTGTCATTGCATGTCTCCTACCCACATCTCCCACTCCACTGTGCCCTTAAGGAATAATTCCCCTTTCACCCACCAACTGCTCCATTCATCATCAGAATGAACTCATTCAAGCTGAGGCACTTGAGTCAGAACCAGGAACCTTGGAAGAGGAACAAATGGAACATACTCTTTTCTGAATACTTTAGGATTTCAAGAACTTCATTGACCATGTGGCAAAGGAAAAGATATGAATGCTGGAGTTACCTAGCCTTGAATTTAACAATTTGCTCTGCCACCAACTATTTTGGGATATTAGTTGCTTGTCCTACAAAATAGGAATAGTAATTGCAACCCCATGGACTGTAGCCTACCAGGCTCCTCCGTCCATGGGATTTTCCAGGCAAGAATACTGGAGTGGGTTGCCATTTCCTTCTCCAGGGGATCTTCCTGACCCAGGGATTGAACCCGGATCTCCCGCATTATAGGCAGACGCTTTACCATCTGAGCCACCAGGGAAGTCCAGGAATAGTAATATCTACTCTAAAAGAGTCATGTCAGTTCAGTTCAGTTCAGTTCAGTTGTTCAGTCATGTCCGACTCTTTGCGACCCCATGAATCGCAGCACACCAGGCCTCCTTCTCCATAAACAACTCCCGGAGTCCACCCAAGTCCATGTCCATCGAGTCAGTGATGCCATCCAGCCATCTCATCCTCTGTTGTCCCCTTCTCCTCCTACCCCCAATCCTTCCTAGCATTAGGGTCTTTTCCAATGAGTCATGTCAATGTATGGCAAAACCAATAAAATATTATAAAGTAAGTAGCCTCAAAAAAAATAAATAAATAAATAAAAAATAAAAGAGTTCTTATAAGAATAAGAAGAAATAATACTTATAAAATTCATGGAACAAAAGCTGGTTCAATATAGGCTTGGAATGTTGAGTTCCCTTCTTTTTTTTCTTTTTTTGTCTTATGCTTTGGGAATCAAGGTGGGTGGGAGGGGGTCAGTGGGTGGTCACATCTCACACTGCCTCTGGACTGATGGCACTGATATCAGGCATGACAGGTCACCTAGGATTCCAGTGAGAGAGGTCATCTTCTTTCCTCTCAGCCTTCTCTGTTCAGCCTGACAATAAACCAGCTAGAAATGGCTTTATTAAGGAAACTCTGCTTCTCCCTTATCCAGCAGGATCTTAGCATTGCTTCTTATTGCTCAAGATTTTAGTTCAGAACTTTTCTTTCTGAGGTCAGAACTGAAAAAGCTGAGATTGCTGAACTGGGTGAGAAACCAAGAGATTCAAGAATGCAAGCCAACAGACAAAAGGACACAGATCATAGTACTAGAGTGAGTTCATCTTCAACTCAAGAGCTGGGACTGAAGGCTGGAGATAGAGGCTGAGGAGAGGAAGACCCCCAGGAAGAGGAGAAGATCCCACACAATACAGTGCAGGTGACATCAGGTCCTCAAGCAATGTGAGGGTGGAGGTAGGATGGGGAATCAGGCAGGATTATTGGGGCTCATCACGTCCATCTTTGCTTCCTTGTGGACTTACTACCAGAAACACCTTCAGTAGATGCTGTGCTCTGAGATCAATCTGCTAAGTTCCTGTTGGAATTGAGAGGAAGAATAGCTCAGACAATTTACAAAGAGAGGTGCTTGTCTCTTTGGCACTGGCCTCCTAAAGCCATGACACCCTCCCAAGGGAGCTCCAGGTGATGCAGGCAGGGAAAAAACTGATGACCAACCCAATCAAACTATGGCAGCCAAATTGGTTATGTCACTTGTGTCCAAAAAAGTTAGATGTGGGAGAGGACTATTTCCAAATCTTTGGGTACATGTAGACCATGTGACCTGGAAAGGGGTCTAGGATTGGGTGGAATGCTAGGATTCCAACAGGCAGGGACAAGAGTAAGGGGCAGGGAGGGAGCAATCATTTCAGGCAGAAGCATGTGAGTGAGCAAAGAGTAGGCTGACTAGGATCTGAGGCCAGCAGGTTGTGGGGGATAAGGGTCAGTAGAAGAGGCAGGAGAGGGCTGGTTCACACCTTCCCACAAGCTTTACTTCTCACAGCAGCTTCGTTAGAGTGTGTGTGTGTTGGGGGGCTAGTACACTGCACTTCCATTCTAATGACCCCCACCCCAGACAGGAATGCCCTGAAGCTGCTTTTCTAAGAATACAAATCTCAACATGGGTCCTTCTGAGACACAGAAGGTTTTGAAGGGCCAGAAACAGTACAAATTCCTCTACCCACTCCACAGGAGGTGGATTTGAGGTCCACAAGCTGAAGCTGAGGTTAGTTAGTACTAGTGATCAGGAACGAGGGCTGGACCACTGTATAATTTGCACAGGCTATCCCCCCAGCACACATAGCGACAAATAGACATACACACACAAACACACTGCCTGATATACAACTTTTGCCCGACATAAGGGGCAAAGGAAACCTCAGGCCAGTTCTTTATGAGCTCCCACCTACCCATGCTGCCTCCACAGATGCCCAACTCAGCACCCAGCACCAAAGCCTAACCTTGTCCTCTGTAGTCTGGTCAACACCTTTACACTGTCTCCACACCTGGGCTTGAATGCTCAGAAAGATACACACCAGTCACACAGCAGAGGCTGTGGGGATTATCATGTGCAGGAAGGTCCTCTTTGGGAAGTTTCAGGAAAAGAGGGGCTAGTTGCTGGGTCAATGATGGAAGAGCTCTCGTCCTGCAGGGTGAGGATCTTGAGTGGGAAGACAGCTGGGGAAGTTGACAGAGGTTGTGAGAAGGCCACATGTGTGCAGGCACTTGAGGGTGGGCGGGTCACAGAGGCAGCTGGAGCTGGACCAGATCTGAGAGAGGCAGGTGTCTGCAGGAATCAAGCTCCGAGTGGAGGTGTCCTAGTAGTTCTGATTCTTCTGCTTTCTCCAATTAAGTTATCTTCATGGCCTCCCTTTCTGGCTTATAGACCTCACTGTAGACAGTACTAGACTCCTTTTCTTCTAAATGTTGTTTACCAGCACCCTAGGAATTGAAGTCAGAGAGTTTCTTTTTCTTTTCTTTTTTTTTTTTTTGAAGTCAGAGAGTTTCTAAAAAAGCTGAGAGAGGCCCTAGAGTGACCCAGAAGGAAGCAATGCTGCTGACAACAAATGCATGTGAGTTTCCCCAAAGTGACCAGCACTACACTGGCCCCAAGTTTTAAATTTTCTTAGTAAATACCACTGACCACCTGGAGAGAGTCAAAGAGACAGCAGGGCCAGGAACAGCAGGTGACTGGGTTGACAGACCCAGGAGATAGACCCATGAGATCCCAGACTGGGCTCAGCTCCCATTCTCACCTTGTGTGTGACCTCTCCAGACCCCTGCTGGCTCAGCTCCGCATACTGGATGCCACCATCATTGTCCCCGGGGTCACCCTGAAATTCTACACCTGTGTCATACACAGAATGGAGCTTGAACCTCGCCTTGAAAACATATACCTTCCCCCATGGCAATGAACTCAAGGCCAAGCCCACACCTGCCTTCCCCTTCTGCATTGATATTCCCTGAGCAGCAAAATGCAGGAGGAAGGCAACCAAGGGTTCAGTGGGGGAGGGGTGGGACCTGGGGCAAGAAGCAGAAATGCACCCTACCTCTTCCAGTCTTCATCTTCCTCTTCTTCTTATAGGTCTTCCAAAGGAACAGTCCAATTACGAGGATCAACAGCATAATCACAACAGCCCCTATGATGCCTGGCAGGGTCTTAGCACTGCTGTTTCTAGGTGAATCTGTTTTCCTCACACAGAAAGAATAAAGAAAATTATGGCAAACAGAACTTGAGACATCCATTGTCGAGGAAACATACAGAAGAGCAAGTGGAGAGGTCTGAAGCTAAAGAGGAGGTGGCAAGGCAGTATCATTCACTCAAGGTCCTGAGCTTCTGCTTGATACCAGGGACACTGAGATAAACAATACAGGTCACCCTGGGGAAGACAGAGAAAATACCAAAGTCTTCCAGCCAGAGAGACGGCAGTGAAGTAGAAGTTAACACTTTGTACACTGGTCTTCATGGAGGGCCTCCCAGAGGAGGTGATGCATAAACTTCACCTCTGAGGGAGGAGTAGGAGTTTACCAGATATTCAGACCATGCACAGCTTTCCAGGAAGGAGGAGACACTGCTATGTCAAATCTGCATCCCTGGGGGTTGCAATCATTCCCGATCAGCAGGCAGGAGAGGGAAAGGGCAGGAACAAGCAGGATGAGGATGATCAGAGAGAAGAGAGGCTCTTTCCAGAGGGTCTTGAGGGTCATGCTGAGTGTTGAACTTTATCTGAGACTCTAGAATGGGACCAAGGGAAAGGTATCATGAGATTTTAAGTGATGCTGACATATCAGCTCCCACCAGCAGCTCATGGGGAATGGGTTAGAGGGGCTAGATTGCACAGAGGATACCAGTTCATTTATTCACTCAGTGAAATACTGAGTGTGAATAGTGCCAGAAACTTTGTTTGGTATAAGAATTCAAAGAACAAGACATGTCCTCTGCCCACAAGGTGTTCCAGGCTATGGAGAAGACAAACCCATCAATTGCACGGCTACTCAGTGTGGGGTGGCCATGGACTGCTCCTTAAAGGGGATGATGCCTGAGGCAGGGCAGTTACAGCAGCTGCAGTGCTTGTGCAACAGGAGATTGAGCCACCCTTTGTTCAACTTGACTCATAACAGAACTATAACCAAGTGCAGGACATTGGTTACATGCCCATGACCTGAGGGAAATCCTTCAATAGGAATAAGCAAGGAACTCTTGATTTGGGAGGTTTGGTGGTAGAGGAAACAGCATTTCCAGAGGCTAAGAAGCTTGCAACTTCAGGACACGTTCAGGGAAGCCAAGCAAACAATTCAGTGTGCAGTGTGTGAGGTAAGTAACATGGGCAGAGGAGCTTCAGAGCCCTGAATCCTGCAGGGAATCCCTGGGTCAGACTCCTACAGATGATACAGACCAATCACAAAACCCAATTGTTTTTCAAAAGACTACAGTGGATGACACACTATGGATAATGGATGAGGTAGAAGTGCTAGAAAGCTATTGCTCTGGACCAGATCTGACACTGCCCTGTAGCAGCTGGGAGGGAAGGAGCTCCCCAGAGGGCAACAGGTAGGCAGGTACAGGCAGCAGGGAGCATGGGTCAGGGGAGGGGTGAGCCCTCGGGAAATACATTTCTAGGAAATGCTTTTGCTGCTGCAGCCCCAGTTCTCTTCTCCTCCCCCACACCACACCTGCTCTGCCTCCAGGGCCAGCTGGGACTGAGATTTGCTCACCTGGAGGGTGAACCGACTTGATTTGCATCAAAAGCAAATTCCTTTTTTCTTGGGAAAAAAAAGGGGGTGGAGAGGCAGGCATGGACTTGAGAGAGAGTTAATGCAGACATAAACTGACTATACCTCCCAGGCTCCTGAAAGGGGTGACCTGGTAGGAAGGAGGTGCTCATCACATGATGGGGAGAAAAGCCCAGAGCCCCTAGTTCTCAGAGTGCCCGTCCCCTCTGGCGGGTGCACTCACCAGAGACACAGACTTTCCCCAGGTCTAAGGTGGCAGTTTTCTGGTCCACCTGGTTGCTGACCACACAGTTCAAGCTGGCAGCAGGCTGGCTCAGGGGCAGGTTCAGAGTCAGGTTCCTGGAGTTGGAGGGTAGTTCTGATGTCACTCTCTGCTCCAGCTCCCTGGGAAGGCCCTTGATCTCCCAGTTCACCTTCAGGTCCTCTGTATCCCCTGGGGCTCTGCACTCCAGAGTGACATTGCACCAGCCTGGTGTGATGGATGCTGACTTGACATGGATCTCAGGAAGGGGTACAGTTCCTGAGAGAGGAGGGACAATAGAATGGAGCTCACATGATTGGAGAACATTCCAGTCTGTACATTCTCATCCATCATCTCACTGAAACCCTGGCCCTCTCCCTTTAATGACAGTGAACGCATTATATAGATAAACAGAATTTGCCCAGTACTTAATACATAGCAATTGACAATAAAGTGGAGAGCCGCTGAATTAAGCCATATGTGATTTCACTAGATTGTGTGCATGTTGAGGAAGTGTTAAACATCTCCAACAAGAAAATAAAGCCTGATCCCACCTTCCCAAGACCAGTTATTTCTAAGAAAATGGGGCTCCTTCTAGACGTGGGAGAAGTCTCAGACAGAAGAGCTAATCACAGATCAGGAACTTGGCCTCTTCTTCTGCTCAGATAATGCCTGAGATTTTATAGCTTGTAGAGAAGAAGAAGCCTGGTCAGAGTTGGGAGCCCAGAGAAAGGTTCTGTGCTCCCAATAGTGGAGACATGTGTGGGAGATGCAGTGGCAGTGTCAACTACAAATTGGCACTTGCTATCTCTCTCTGCAAGGGTCAAATCATGTGCTGCTGTAGCTGCTGACCTTCACACCCCACTGAAGGAGTTCAGGGTGGAAAGAAGACATGAGGCATTCTGTGCCGGTGCGGGAGAGTGGGACTGGCAGGACAGGTCTTCAGATAGCTTGATATTTTCAGGAGCCTATTTTATGAGCTCAATTCTGGTACCTCATTGTATCTAGAAAAGCACTAAAATCCTTCATGGTGATGACTGTTCCTGGTGACTAGAAAAATCTTCTGGAGACTAGTAGAAAACTTCTGGGAAAATGTTCTTATTGCTTGTATTCCTCCTTCACCAAAGTCACATATACACTGACATTTCCCTCTCATTGGAGCAGTTTCTCAGAGCTATCTGGGGTACTGTCTCCTAGGCTGCCATCCTCATTTTGCTCCAAATAAAAACTTAATTCATAACTCAAACATCGTGCATTTTTTTAAGTCGATGGTAGCAACTAGGAATGATAAGTCTGAGTCCGTTAGAACATGCCACTGAACTTGAGAAGTGACATACTGATAAGTTGGTCATAGAAATCACCTGGGGACCTAAAGCAGAAACAGTCACTCTCTCACAGCAGATATTTTCCTATGCATGCAGGGACTTCCAGGAAAGAAAGTGTTGGCTAAGTGAGGCTCTCTGGAAGTGCTACCATGTGACCATTCTCCTACATCTACCCAGGCATCTAGAGCTGGATTGCTGGAGCCTTTGTGAGTGAGGCTGGCCTTGGACTGGCGCTGATTAAAAGGAGAGGAGGCACTGACTACACATGAATTTCTGGATTATGGTAAGTGAATAATGGGCCCCAAATACTTCCATGTCCAATCCTCAGAACCTATGACTATGATAGGTTACAGGACAAGGTGGAATTAAGGTAAAAGAATTAAGGTGCTAATCAGCTGACTTCAAAATAAGGAGATTGTTCTGATTACATGGTTGGGACCAATGCAATCACAGGAGTTCTTAGAAATGGAAGAAAGAAGAAGAGCAAGGGGGTCAGAGGTATTAGAATGTGAGAAGAATTGGTCCCACTATTGCCAGCTTTGATGGTAGGGGAAGGTGGTCATAGCCAAGTAACATAAGCAACCACTAGAAGTGGAAACTACAAGTAAATGTATTTCCTTCTGGGACCTCTATAGAGGAACACAGTCCTGCCAACAACTCGACTTTGGCCCAGTGAGACCTATGTCTGACTTCTGACCTAGAGCCTAGTAAGATAAAAAAATCTGTGCTGTGTTCAGCCTCCAAATTAAAGCAGCATTATAGCAGCAACAGATACGCAATATACACATTAAGTAAACCTAGACATATTAAGAACAACAATTGCTATGGCAATATCATTTCCCCAAATTTCCATTCTCCTCTCCCAAAATTCTAAAGTGGTTTTATCCCTGGAGTGAATCTCAACTCCTTTCACCATTTGCAGTAAACCCACTTACCCTAATTCAAGGGAGGAAATAGCCTGAACGCTGGTGTCTGAAAGGGATCCTGAAAAATGGGGCCTACCTGACACTCTTAACTCAAAAGCAGGAGGGAAGCCATGGTGAGGAGCATCACTCACCATAGACAGTGAGGAGGAAAACCTGGGCAAGTTCTCTTCCTCCAGGGAAGCTGGCTCGAGCCCGGTACTGCCCACTGTCCTCTTGGGTCAGGTTCTCAATCCTCAGGGATGTCACATTGGGTACATGGACCCTGTGCTGGTACTTGTCCTGGAGGCTGACCCAGGTTGGGGTGTCTGCTCCACGGCGGACTTGCAGCAGGACTCTGTAGTTTGACTCAGGGCCAAAGCCCCATGAGACCTCTTCTGGGTCAGCTTCTTGATTCTTGGTCAGATGAAACAACACAGAACCTCCTTGGACCCCCTGCAGGGAAACATGGGCTCCAGAATCCTGAACTCCAGAACCATGTGCTCCAGAACTCTTGACCTCAGTGCTGCAGACACCTATGGCATGGGACACAGGAACCATATATTTTTTTTTCAGTAACAATAAAGGAGAAAACTATATAACTTATATTTTAAATGAAATTCATCCAACTTACTCCCTTGATTCTTAAGAGGCAGCCTAGTCAAATGAATTTAAGCAATTTTAGAATTAAATCCTGGTTCTAGTGAATTGTTACCTTGAAGAGGTAACTTAAATTTTCTAATCTGGAGTTTCCCCACCTACCTCATAAATTGAATGGCATCATGGGACTTCCCTAATAGCTCAGTCGGTAAAGAATCTACCTGCAATGCAGGAGACCTGGGTTCGATCCCTGGGTTGGAAAGATCCCCTGGAGAAGGGAAAGGCTCCCTGTTCCAGTATTCTGGTCTGGGGAATTCCGTAGACTGTATAGTCCACGGGATGGCAAAGAGTCGGACACAACTGAGTGACTTTTTCACTTTCGTATATCAAAAGCACTTAGCAGATTTTCTGTCAATACCAAATGCATAAATGTAGAATTAGCTTCTTAATTATTGTCCCCTTGTGTTCACATCCTTTTGTAATGCCCTCCCTGGCGAGTGGGCTACATCTAGTGACTGGCTTCCAAGGAATAGACTAGAGCAGACATGATGGATATCACTCAGTGATACTAGGTTATACAAGACTGTGACTTCCCTCTTGCTTACACACACATCCTCTTTTTCACTCTCTCTCTCTCTTGCTCACTCTGAGGAATCCAGCTGTCATGTTGTCAGTTGCCTAAGGAGAGGCCCACATGACAAGAAAATGAGGGAGCCTCTGGCCAACATCTAGAGAGGAACTGGGACCTTCAGCCCAACAGCCACGGGAACTGTCTCCCAGCAGCAATCTCTTCAGAGATCTTGGAATCATAGCTTGCGCAGTGGACCATGGGCTGATGCAGCCCCAGCCCCAGCTAAGACTCTAACTTCAATCTGGGAGACCTTGAGTCAGAGGACCTAGCTGATCCAACCCTAAGCCCTGACCCACAGAACCTGTGAGACTGAGACTAGACTTGGTGGTGTTTAAGGTACTATGTTTTGTGGTGATTCGTCACACAGCAATAGATACCTAACACAAATATGAAGGCTGCTACCCTTCCTCCTCTTTCTAGGCAGTGCAGTAGTCAGGAAACTACAGGCTGTGCTGTATAACAAATAGTTACAATACCTCAGGGTCTTAGAATAAGGGGGGTCCATAGTCCCCACCACAGGTCCCATGAGAGAGTGAGGAAGAGGCCCTGTCATACATGGAGGAAACCCCACCTCCTTGTAGCTGCACCCATGGAACTCTCAGCATCCTCATAGGTTCCCAGCCCCACAGCAGGAGAGGAGAGAGGAGAATCACATAGGGGTTTCACTGCGACTGTCCACAAGCAGTGTGCTCTCTGCTCATGTTTTTCGACCAGCACTCATAACAAAGCCCTGGCTAACTGCCAAGGACTAGAATGTGAGGGGGAGAGCAAGTGATCATTTAATGAGCTCTACTGTCCCTACCACCAAGACAACACTTCCCAGTCAGTCCCTGCCAGGTCACAGTGGGCCTTCCTCAGACACTTTCCTGGAGAGCTTTGACCAGTGGGCACATTTGCTTCAGGGCCACCACCTCCTGAGCCCACCTTCCCTCTTCAGGCATAGGCCCAAGGGACCTGATACCTTTCACCCTTTCTGCGGATGAAGTAGGACAGAACAGGATGAGGCAAAGTCCCTTATCCTGAAAAGATGATCAATCTGCTTCTTCCAGCAGGTCAGGATGCACCTACTGGTCTCAGTTCCTCTCTAGATATTGACCAGAGGCTCCCTCAGTTTCATGTCAGCCTGCCACAGTCCCAATCCCCTTTCCAATTCAATAAATTCTCTCCATTTCAGACCTGTCTCCCTCCAGCTGTACTTATTCTCATTCCTGGCTCTCACTGGAAGCAGAGCATAACTCATGCCATTGTTCACATGCCTAAAGATTTCAGATGTTTCTTTTTATTCATTTAATCAGGCATCTCCTCCAGGTCAGACCTTAGGGGGCATCTATACAGGCCTGTCACAGAGGAAGGCCCCCCCAGGGGGTGATCTTGTCCTGGGTCACACAGGGCAGAGCCACTCCTGGCACCAGGGCTCCCCGCTCCCAGCCCAGTGCTTCTCCCCTGCAGAAGCTCCCATCTGCTCCCCACCCTGTCCCTGTATTCCCCAGAAGCTCCCCTCCCAGCACCACTGCCTCATCACCAGCATCTGAGCAGTTCCTAGAGGCTCATCCCCCAACTTTCCTCTCCTGAGAAAGGGGAAGCAAGTACTTAGGGGGGGGTTATCAGGGCAGGGACTTCTGGCCAGCTGAGGGTTAACCACCAGCCTGTCCAGACTCCATACTTCCTGGAAAAACAGGAACCAGAGAGAAGAAGCTCAGTCCTGAGTGTGCAGGGAGAACCCACTCGGGGGGATGGTGAGCTGAACTCTGAGGAAGGTAGAAGAAGACTTGGAAAGAGAAGGAAGGGAGTGAGAGATGTGATCTACAAAAGACCTAATCCTGAAGAAGAAAATAAAGCCAGGGAGAGTGTGGTTACAAACAACATAGTTTATTTAAATAATATAAAATTTAATAGTTGCAAATCAATTTACAATTTTGTCCATTTTCCCTCTCTTTCTTTTATGTAATCTTCCAACCCCAGAGCCTATGGAGAAAACTCTAAATAACAGAACTTATTTTCAAGTTACATAAAATTGAAGAGAAAAGAAGCTCTATATTTTACCGTTACCTTATAGAGTTACATTACTGAAAAGGAGGTAAGGTTTTATAAAGCTTATTCTTAATTCAAGACATCTGTTTATAAACAGTCTATAATTCATTAATTTCATATAGCTCCTGAAAATTCACTTAGTGGCTGGAATACTGAAAAAATAATTTAAAAATTTTAAACTTTAATTAAAAATAAAACCTTTCCAGCTTTCTCCAGAATTCATAATTCCTTGGGTATTAGTGTTTACTCATTAGTTTTTAATTTTCTCATACATAATCAGATAGTCTCCAGGAAGTCACGTATATAATTTGGGTTTTGTCCAGTCTTTAGCTCACTTTTCACTTAACTCCCCATAGTTTTCTACGTCTCTTTCCCTTCCTTCCTCCTCTAGTTCACCCACATTATCAGTCTACACTTCCGTTCTTAATTTCTCCATATTCTTACAACAGGTGGTATACAGAAACCCTTAAATTTGAGAAGTTGCTGTTCCTTTTACAAAAGCAGAATTTCATTTAATTGCATTTAACATCCTGCATCTTGCCCAAGAAATCAAGACTACAATTGCTTCCTCCATCTCAGACACAGGGTTCTAGTCAACCTTCTTCTCCACAGGACAGCTGCACGGACTGTCACGTTCCCTCTGAGTTGAGACCAGAGAGCCTTGTTTCCCCAGCCCATCCAAATCAAGGAGCCAGCTTCTTAGTCTCTCCCCCTCTCTGCAGGCAGCTCCCGGCTCACCCAGCTTCACATTTCTGCTGCAGAGACAGACTTATCTTCCTAGAAATGTTTTCCTTAATGTAGTGAAGGCTGCCTGAGCTCAGGTGTCTCAGACTCACCACAACAAGAAGATGATTTTGTTCTTCTTTTCACCCCAGGTGTCTAAACCAAAGGCTCTGCATTTGCTAAATAATTGCAGAGCTGTTTTGTCTTTTTGTTCACCAAGGACATAAGACATGGAAAGGGCACCCTGCCTCCCTGCTCCACCCAGAGGCCCTCCCTCCCAGGAGCCCAGATCACTCACTGAGGAGGAAGCTGGTGAATCCCAGGAGCCTGGAGGGCCTGCAGAGGTGGGGGTCTTCTGAGCAGGGCCCCATCACAGGCTGCCTGCTCAGCCTGTGAGGCCAGAGAAGAAGCATCTAGGAGGAGCAGAAAGAGAGGAAGGAGTGTCACACAAAGGGCAATTATGCTATTCTCCACCCTTAGGGCGGGGCTAATGTGTTCTAGATGATGGCCCACCAGCCTATACTAAACCACTCGGAGATTTCCTATTAATTTCACCAGCACCTACATTAAGACCTCACCAAACAATTTCAGAGTAAATGTATAAACAACTCCACTGTATTGCAGATACTCCAACCCTGTTGTCATATCAGCCTGGATAAACTCTGGAAAACAATTTCCCAACATAACAGCCACTGTCCCATTCCACCGTGTGGCCTCAAGCAAGTCACCTGAGTTCACTCTGTGCTTCCAGAAACTGCTCTGCTGCATCTCAGACAAGAGAATATCCAGTACTGCTTTATTCCCTCCAACCCCATGTAGTTAGTGGCGGATGAATCCTTTGGTCAGAAACTTCTGTAAGGAGTCAAAATCCAGGCAACTCACCCTCTGGTTATTTTCGGGGTGATGAGGAGAGCAAGTCTCATATTTTTCCTCTGCTCTTGAAAGTACTGTGAGGACTATGTCGGTCTGCTCCAGAGTTGGGGAGGGAGGAGGAGCCTAGAGGAACAGCAATGCAGCTACAGGCCAGGGTTACTGGGAGAGAGCCAGACAACAAACATTCCAACATTCCGTGCTGGCAGAACACCAGGGACTTTTTGGAAATCCAGATATCTAAGGTCAATTCAACATGTCAGCCAGATATGCTGTGCAGCTGGGAAGCTAAATCTTTGTCAACACCCCCAACTTGTCTAGGTCTTCTTACAAATTTCAAATTTATAGATTTATGAAAGGCAGATATCATCACAATTATCCTCCTTTTTGACAACGTGGAAACAGGATCCAGCGAATCTAGTGAACAAACCCAAGGTTGGAAAGTCAACACGTAGGACAGCGTGGCCTGGGACCAGGTCCCTGTACTTTCTTTGCACTCGCCTTCAGAGACCCAAGTCCCTCTCAGGGCAATGTATCTCATCCACAAGATGGTTTCAGCCCTTGAGAAGTCACATGATGGGGAGGGAGACCTAGCCTGGCCCAGGGCAGACCTTCACCTTCCTTGCATAATTCCAGGCAGGAAAACTAAAACATACAGCTGCATCTCAGCAGCCTCTGAGATCAAGGCAGCCTGTGACCAATCCCTGTTACCTCTGCTCGTGCTCTGTGTGTCACGAACAGCCCAGCCCAGACTTGCAAAGGCTGATGGTCTGAGAAACCACAGTTGGTCAGTCTCCCAGGCCTGACCCTCTTTGTCTGTGACCTGCAGGGTAGTGGATCCTGCCCTACTTCCCTGGGCAGTGAACCCTGTCCTCCTAGGGTGCCTCATGGTCCAGATTTCACAAGGTCTTTTCATCTTTGTAGGGAAAGAGCAAACTAGCCAAGATGGCAGTGGTCAGGCTCTCTTGCCACACAGCCTCTTGCCCCACATTTTGTAAATACATGGTTATGTAACAGTTGAGATCACTTATAGCACTGTGCATGCACATCGTGATGTACCCGCTTGGCCACAGGCCACTTTTGTTCTATGTCCACTGGGTCAACCACGAGGGGAAAGACTATATTGTGTCTGCTGCTATGGCTGCTATGCCAGTCAGGAGAGAATAAATGAGTCTATAGTTCCTGTGACTCTTTGAGTTTTCTTGCAGCTTCCCTACTCGTGCCTTGCATACCCTGGGTTCAGCAAGCAGTGAGATACAGAGAGACAGTCTCAACATCCTTTCTATCAGTCACACCAAGTACATGATTTTTTAAACCTGAAGAAGCCCCACCCACCCACCCAGTGGAGAGGTAGCCTCCAGCCTGCACACCTGCTCCCACTCCATGGAGTAAGACCCTTCCCTCCCACTTACTATCAAATGTCTCCTGATCATTCCAGATGCAGCTTTGATGGTGTCCTGGGAGTCTCCGCATCCTGCCCCAGATGAACTTAGGTCCTCTTGCCGCTGGGCTCCCACAGCAGTTCAGCAGGACATTGGTACTTGTGATATAACCAGACAACACTTGCTCTTGCCCCACCTCCCACCTTGTGATACAGAATGCAGTTCCTGTGAACAAAGGCGGCAAGGTGATCCCACTCTCAGCCTGGTGTCAATGATGAATCAGCACCTGAGAGTGAGTGCCCTATTGACTCACCCTGATCCCAGCCCTCTTGTGAGGACCCTGGGGGTCACATGTGCTCTTGAACAAGACAGGCAGCTTTCAACTAAGCCGCCCATGGCACCTGTGACAGGTTTTCAGTAAGCAAATATTTACTAAGCTAAGCACACCTGTGTCTCGGCCACAGTATTTTTCGGTCCAGGTCACCATCTGCTGTGGTCCGTGGGCCCTAAGATAGCTTTACAGGCAGTGTGACCTCACCCAGAACCTTCCTTCTGACAGACACATGGCCCCCGAGGACTCTGGGTGCTGTGTTCTGTGAGAAAAATGAAGGCGTGCTCCTCCATGGCCATATTTTCACAGACCTGTTCTAGTGGTGCTGAAAATTCATCCGAAGAACATCCACCCCTCATGAGGATAATCTGTAATTCCACAGTGCTATCTTTAGAATTCAAGTCTGAAAACTAAATTCTTACACTATTCAAGAACCACCAGACTCTTGGAGACACACTTATGTTGACAAAATTAAGACAGTGGTGACCTATTAAGTGGAATGCCAAGTTATTGTAATAAAAATCTGGGGCCAAGTTCCCTTCCCATGAACAGGCTCTCTCTGTAGCTATAAGGAGGTTTGCTGGGCACAGACCACACAATGTTAATAGTAGGGGGTTCTTTCTCCCTCATTTTGAAGCTTCCTGATCCACCTAAAAACACTTTTCTGTGGGCAGATTGCTGTGACCCCAATTCTTTTAATGAGAACAGTATGGAAAAAGGGAAAGAGTAATTTCACAGTGGATAAGCCTGAGAAACACTCCCTGAATTCAGCCAGGTGATGAAGGTCAGTATATGCTGTGGTATATCACGGTGATAGTATGTACCCTTGATATGATGCAATGAAAATAGCACTTTCTTCTGTGGTCCTCCTCCCCAAATCCCAAACCCCCTAGTTTAATTATGAGGGAAACACTGGAAACTTCCTAATTGAGGGATACTCCACCAAACACCCAATCAGGGCTTCTCAAAACTGTCATGAGAAAAAAGAACAGCTGAGAAACAGTCACAGCACAGAGGAGCCCAAGGAGACATGGTGTCCTGAATGAGATCCTGAAACAAAAGAGGACATTGGATAAAAATGAAAAACATCTGAGTAAAGTATGAACTTTTCTTTAAAAGATATCAATATTAGTTTATTAATAGAAACAAATGTTATGAGTATAAGGTACTGATAATGTTGCAGGAAGGGGGATCCCAGAGTCTGAGGGTGACTCTCGTCTAACACTCGGAAAAGAATTGTTCAAGGAGACACATACGCCGACAAAGCAAGAGACTTTATTTGGGAAGGGGCACCTGAGTGGAGAGCAGCAGGGTAAGGGAACCCAGAGAACTTCTCTGCCATGTTGCTTGCAGTTTTATGGTGACGAGATTAGTTTCTAGGTTGTTTCTGGCTAATCATTGATTCTGGATCCATCGTGGGGGCACCTACATCACTCAGTCAAGATGGATTCCAATGAGGAGGACTCTGGGAGGTTGGTAGGACAAAGGAACTAATGTATCCTGTCTTCTATTGACCTTTCCCTAATTTTTCTAGTTGGTGGTGGCTTGTTAGTTCCGTGTTCCTTATCTCCTGTCATTAAGTAACTCATGCAAATGGTTACTGTGGTGAATGGTCAGGGCTGGCAGAGTTTCATCTAACAATAATAGGGGAAACTGTATATAGGGTATATGGGAACTCTCAGTACAGTTTCCTGAATTTTTCTGTTAATCTAACAAATTTCTAAAAAATAAACTTTACTGAAATGAAAACTGCTACCTTCCTGAGCTCATATCCCTTCTGGTTACAACTGCTCAAGGCATGTTCCTCACCATTTCCACAAAGGCCAGCAAGATCTATGCGTGACTCTTCCTCTATATATACAGGAATACTTGTTTTCAAATAAACCCTGTTCCCACTGCTGACTCCATGAAAGCAGAATTGAAAACTATTTGGTTTCTGTCCCCAGACCTGGCTCACAGATGCTTACACAACATTTATTCAGTATATGTTTCCTCAGCCCCTCCTAGATACCTGTCATGTGTTAGATGCTCATAATGTACAGTAAACACAGCTTCCCCATTCCTTGTCTGGACAGAGGCCACACCACAGTGGGGAACAGATGATAAACAAGGAAATGCCTTATGCAGCTATCATGCCAGTTACAGGGAAGGGAAAGTACAGGGTGGTGGGAGGGAAGGAGGACACTGAAGGGACAGGGAGGCCGCTCTGAGGAAGGATGGCTAAGCTGAGGCCTATAGGTGGCCATGAGCTCCATGTGGGCAATCCCATTGGGCCAATCCTTGTCTTCACTTTACTTTTGGCACAGTTCGTCACTCCTTTTTTCGAGAAACCTTCTTTACTTGGCTTCCTGGACACCAGAGTCTCCTGATTTTCACCCTGCCTCACTGGCCACTCCTTCTCAGCCTCCCTTCTCCAACTATGACCTTCTGAGGTCCAAAACTTGTTCCCTGGACCACTTCCCTGTCTACACAAATCTTTCACTTGAACTCCAGACCCATGTGTACAATTGCCAACTTGAAAACCCAACGTGAAGGCCCTGTACCTCACAAACTCCAATTGCATACCTGAGCCCCCAAACTGCTCCTTCCCTGGTGGTCCTTATCTCAGGAAATGGCACTGTCAATCACCATAGAGCTCGTGCCAAATTCCTGGTTATCACTCAGACTCCAGGTCTGACCCATCAGCAAATCCTGCTACCTCTCCGTAATATTTCATGAATCCACCCCCTTCTCACCACTTCCTCCACTTCCACTGTAAGCTGGACTCTTGCTGGTGCCTCCCAACTCATGCCCAGACCCTACCCTTGCTGCACCACATACACAGCCAAAGTGGACCTTTAAACCATTGTCACAGCCTGTCTTGCTGCTGCTCCAAACACTCTGCTGTTACTCATTCCACTTAGAAAGAAATTCAAGCCCTGATCTTGTCCTTCCATGCTCCATGCCATTGTTCCCCAGGCCGCCTTTCCCACCTCAGTTCTTCAGAGTCTGTCAATCATTCCTCTCCAGCATCACAAGCTTTGTGAACTTTCCTCCAGTGCTTTGGGTAGGCTCCCAGCTCAGGGCATTGGCACATTCATATTTTCTGCCCAGAATGTCCTTCCACCTACTTAAATGGCTCTCATTCACACTCACTCAGCGCTCTGTCAAAATGCCACTTCCCCAAAGAGGTCTTCCCTTGGAGTCCTTCTAAAATAGAAGCGCTCCTGCCTTCCTCTGCTTGTTCTGTCCTCACACACTTGCCATCACCTGACCCTGCATATCTATTTTGTCATTTGTTGATTACCACTATCCCCCTTAGGACGTGAATTCTTGAGTGCCGGGAATGTATTCATCTTACTCTCTTCTGTATCCCTAGCACTGAGAAAAATAGTAGACATCTCGTAAATATTCTTCAGAGGTGGAATAGCATAATGGTTAGAAGTGTGGCTTCTAGACTCAGACCATTTGACTTGAAATTCCAAAAGTTCAAATTTCCAACAGTTTAAAAAAAAAAGGTGTAGAAAGACAGGCACTTGTACATTGCTGGTAGAGATGCAAAATGGTAGAACCCATATGGGAAACAATTTGGCAACAATCAAAGAGTCAAAACTCTGGCTGCACCTGCTCAGCAATCCTATCTCTAAAATGGTTTTCCATGATGGGTATTCAGCAAGATTATTTTGCTGAATTGTTTCTGAGATCAAATGATAGAACATGATCTAAATATTTGTCAGTAGGGACACCTTAATTGTACTATGGAATGTTCCCATGGTTGGATACTGCACTTCTGTAAGAATAGCAGGAAGATATCAGGAAGTACTATAGACACTGATTGAAAAGATTTGTAGAATATAACATTAAGTTAAAACAGAAAAGTGTTGAAATCTATATATATATATATATCTGTAAAAATATACATTTTTTACATATATATGTTTTATATATACATATAAAATATATAAGTATACATATAGAATGTATAAAATGTATGTATAAATATAAAACATATACATATATAATATATTCTACCACCAACTCTTCTTAATCCCTGACTATGCCACCCTATTTATAAAGGTATGGTTAACCTGTGACTTACCTAGCATCTGTCTCTGACCTCAGCCTTGAAGTAACATCATCAGTTCAGAGAAACATCAGCAAGGTACCTTCTGTGCCTCTCCACTGCTATTGAGGGTCACTGCCACTAGACTGATGATCACACAGAACCTACCAGTAGGCTTCTCTACCAACACTCTCACACAGTTAGCTCAACAGGCTCATTAGATCTGATAGACAGAGTGCCTGAAGAACTATGGACGGAGGTTGGTAACATTGTACAGGAGGCAGTGATCAAGACAATTCCCACAAAAAAGAAATGCAAAAAGGCAAAATGGTTGTCTGAGGAGGCCTTACAAATAGCTGAGAAAATAAAAGAAATGAAAGGTAAAGGAGAAAAGGAAAGATATACCCTTTTGAATGCAGAGTTCTAAAGAATAGCTAGGAGAGAAAAGAAAGACCTCCTCAGCGATCAATGCAAAGAAATAGAGGAAAGCAATAGAATGGGAAAGAAGAGAGATCTCTTCAAGAAAATTAGACATACCAAGGGTACATTTTATGCAAAGATGGGCACAATAAAGGACAGAAATGATATGTACCTAACAGAAGCAGAAGATATTAAGAAGAGGTGGCAAGAATACACAGAAGATCTATACAAAAAAGATATTCATAACCCAGATAACTACGATAGTGTGATCACCCACCTAGAGCCAGACATCCTGGAATATGAAGTCAGTGGGCTTTAGGAAGCATCACTACAAACAAAACAAAGCTAGTGGGGGTGTTGGAATTCCAGTTGAGCTCTTTCAAATCCTGAAAGATGATGCTGTGAAAGTGCTGCACTCAATATGCCAGCAAATTTGAAAAACTCAGCAGTGGCCACAGGGCTGGAAAAGGTCAGCTTTTATTCCAATCCCAAAGA